CGCCGTCGCCAACGCGTAAAGGCCCGTAAATCTTCCGCAAAATCTTTCTCTCGAACAACCACAGAGCCACCTCCTCGGATGTTGCCATTGTGCATGCTTCTGCGCCATAAACCAGCATGGGCATGATGACTGACTTAAAGAGTGTGGTTTTCGTACGCCGTTAGAGGGCTTTACTCCTGAATTGCCTACTCAGTCCAAAGTAGTTCTTGTTGGCAAAAGTGATTCTGCGTTGGATTTCAATGCTGACATTATTATCGGTATTAATGCTGTTTCCCAAGTAAACGAAATTCTCTACTCTTTCGAAATTATAACTGTACAGTGACGTGGGTGCCAAGGCGCGAATGTGCCCATTGTTTGTTTGATGACAGGAGATACTTCGTCCTGTTCCTCGTTTACCACCACACCCATTCGCTTTGCTTCCTTGTCCAACTTGGAAAAGGCAGAACAGACTTAGCTAAATTGTTCCTGAGCGGTTCAGTTCTGCAGCTCTTATTATCTTCTCCAACATCAGATTAAAGAAGTCACATGAAACGGAGTCGCCCTGTCTGAAACCCCGTTTGGTGGCGAACGGCTCGGAGAGGTCTTTCCCAATTCTAGCAGAGCTGGTGGTATTGCTCAACGTCATTCTACACAGCCGTATGAGTTTTGAGGGGACGCCAAATTCAGACATAGCGGCGTGTAGGCAATTCCTTTTACTGGCTAACCAGAATGTAGTACCACAGCCGCAAGCTATTTCGCTAGCTACATCAGTAATAATACACCACAGCTACAGGTACATATTGTGGGCAGTTCAGAGCATTTAGAATACTTTAACTTTTGACAGCTCTTGCTACATACCACAGCCTCACCCTTCTGGTTAGCCAATTAGTGCTATCGAAAGCGGCTTTAAAGTCGACAAATGGCTGGTGAGTGTCGATCCCTTTCTCGCGAGTCCTTTCCAAGATTTGGCATATTGTGAATACCTGGTCTATGGTGGATTTGCCAGGTCTAAAGTCACACTGATAAGGTCCAATCAGTTCATTGACGATGGTATTCAGTCTTTCACATAATACATTCGATAAGACTTTGTAACCTATGCTTAGAAGGCTGATCCCGCGGTAGTTGGCACGCATGGCGGGGTCGCCTTTCTTGTGGATTGGACAGAGCGCACTTGAATTCCAGTAATCGGGCATGCACGTTACTAGCTCCTTGACATCTTAATTGAATAGCTCAGCTGACAGGCCATCAGCTTAATCAGCTTTGTTACTTTTCAGCTGCATAATCGCTATTCGTACCTCGTCATAGTCAGGCGCCGGTCGATCAGCCTCAGCACGCCGTTTCTATGCGGAGGCTGAATTTTCCGACACTGGCGCCAAAGATCCCTTCGTTGCCCACCTTGGAATTTAAATCACCAAGCACGATCTTTATAGCTGTCGGGGGCAGCGCTAATATGTACGCTCTAAGCTAAGAGATCCTTGGATGCCTCGTCCTTCTCTTCTATCGGGGCATTGGCACATATGAGCGAGATGTTGAAGAACTCGCTTTGTTGCGGATTGTGGCTAGACGTTCGTCCACTAGAGTGAACGCCGGTCTCTCTCCCACCACAAATCCAACATCGACTTGCGCTCCTTTACGTGGAATCTGTAGTAGACGTCGCAAGGCTGCACGCTTACCTTCCTCGCACCGTCCATCGCATTTCATGGATGGTGGTGACGTCAGCCTTTATTTTACCTAGGACATCTATCAGCCGGCAGAGGCACCTTCCTGATTAACGTTTCGGATATTACAGGTGCATACACTCAAATCATAGTCCTTCCTATGTTTGCCGTGGTCGTCATAAAAAAGGGGGTATAATCCGAGACATGTATTTTTTTTGCATTGGGCAGGGTTTTAACATGGCGGGACCCAAACCCAGCGCACGGGGTGTTAAGCTATCCCACTTTAGCTCACTCCCAAACTAGTGTTCGGTCGCTACCCAGAGGATTCATGGATCTAAATATCCGGAAGTTGTGAGCTGAGATTTTAACCGTATGCACACGAATCACTTCTGGCCAGTTACAGGTGAATGTCAGTCAAAAGCTTTATGTATAAAACATAGTGGTCAAAGGCGAATATCTCAGGTAAACCCTGATGTATTTTTTAAATTCATAGCTCTACATACCTGTATATTTAGTATAGTAAATCAAATAGCCGGACCAGACGTTATTCAAAATAAAAAATGTAAAAAATAAACGTTTCCGTATACTCGGTAATATTCCTCCGCAATTTTGTAACGTGTTCGCCACCTGAACTAGAAACGCAAAATTTATGATATCAATTTCGTGGCGAAATTATACACATTTTTTAACTGCCTTGGAAACGTAGGGAAAATCTTTTTTATTCATACGAATCGTTGCAAAGGTTCTGTGCTTTTTTTAAGAAGTTTTACTTCTATCACGTGTACGGTGTTGCACTCGTGCTATTAAACTAATGCTTTTTTCTCAAGTAGTTTTGCAATTTTTAGATATGTATGTAAGAAGTAACGGCACATTGGGTGAACTAAATGTATTTATACATATGTACATATTTATGTACAACTGTAGGTAATATTGTACGCGTCTTCCCAGGTTGGTTAAGTGCGGGTGATAAACCATGCAGCATAGTTAAATACTGCGCAATTTAATAATAATAATAATAGATTGGCGCTTACACATATGTTAGTGTTTGGCCGAGCTTCTCCTCCGGTTTGTGGCGTGCGCCTTGATGTTGTCACACAAAGCGGAGGGACCTACAGTTTTACGCCGACTCCGAACGGCGATTGTATTTTTATGAGAAGCTGTTTTTCATGGCAGAAATACACTCGGAGGTTTGCCATTGCCTGCCGAGGGACGACCGCTGTTAAGAAAAAACCTTTTTTCTATATTTTTTGCGATGTTGCTTTGACCAGGGTTTGAACCCAGGTGCTGCGGAGTGGAAGCGCGCACTGCTTACCACTACACCACAGCGGCCGACAATTTAAATGGGGAAAAATGTTACAATTTCGCCATTGACTGAAAAAAACTCTAAAATACACACAAATTGTGGTTTCCAAGACATGAAAGTGATTAGCACAGCTGCATCCTTCAACTTGTCAACTCGCGGGAAATTCCCCGTTTTGCAGGGAATTTCGGTTTAAGTGGCAATTGGAAAATGGGCATTTTTTCGGGGAACTGGGTATGTTATTTTTATATCTTAAAGTAACCAATTTAGACGAATATGTTAATTTTTAACCAGTTGACCCTTTTGGATCGACATTTTTCAATTTGAATCGCAATATCTCCACAACAAGAGTTTTCCCAGATACAGGCTATAACAAGATGAAAGCTAAGGTTTTGGGCTAGATTTGTGGAAACTTAGAATAAAATCGACTGACCAGTTTTTGAGCAAATGCCCGAAATCTCTATTTTCAGCAACCGGAGTTTTAATTTTCAGGCGATAACGTTATGACATATTTATAGTTTACAAACACAAAAGACAGCATTAGATAGCTTGTTTTAAGACCCTTCTACTGATATCCACTTCAATGGTATGGAATGAGTACTGCGAATTCAGTGGTAGTTTAAAAAATTGCCTTTTTTCGAATTTCAGGAACCACCCACGCCCACAAAGGCCTACGAATCGAAACATCCTGAAACAAAACCTTCCTAGTTTTTTTGGTGCTTTAATTCTTTAAGGTTTGAAAAAAATTTAAATTAATGTACGTACAGACGCTACACACATCGCAAAGCATCTCGTAGTGGAGACACGAACCAAAACACATTTAGCTCTATATCTTTCCAACTAGTAGCCGGAACTTAATATATAAGGTATCGTTTGAAAGGTATTGGCGTATAAAATAAGACTAAATGTGTTTGGTGCATCCACATACCCCCTTAAACCGATAAAAGTAAAAAAATATTTTTTGTTTCGAAACACTTTAGCCTAATTTCTAAGAATCCGGTTAATCGTTTATGAAGCTTGAATACATTTTCTGGACACACTCTGCAAGACCTTTCCAACGATACATGTCGATTGGACGTCTGCTTAAAAACTTCCAAATTTCGTGTATATATAAGCGAGTCATTTCAGCATGTTACTGTGGCTGCTTTCGTCACTCGCGCGCACTGCCGTGCGCTGTGATAAAACTATCTACATATGTTAAGTACACTTTAACATATTATACATTTTTATTTAACAGCCTTAGATTTGAACTAGTGTTAAATTTTTTGAGTATTAATTAAAAGGAAAAATA